TGGCCAGGGCGGCGGGCGCCGGCGGCCCCCATCCCGCTGAAGCACCCGCACGCGGAGGCGGAGAAGGAGGACAGGGGAAAAGGAGCCCCCCAGGGTTGTCCTCGGCTCCAACCTGGGGTTTTCCAAGCTCCGGTGACGGCGTGAAACGCATCCACCCCCCCAACGAAGGTAGCAGCCCTGGGCTCGGAGCAGCACGAGGTTTATTGGGTTCGGACCGCAATGGAGCAGGCGTCACGTGGCGCCTCGCCGCCCCTCTCCAAACTAGGTGATTTGTAGAAAATAAAAAATATATATTAAAAAAACAAAATAAAACAAAAAAACGGGCTTCCACCCAACTTATCTTCTGGTCAGTTGCAAACTCTTAACAATAATAAAATCTACTCTATGTTAAATTAGTCACAACTCCATAAAGGTTTAAACCTCAAAGCATTGTCAGCAATTCACTCCTACCGCCGCGGGTGGCCTCCCGCCAGACCCAGGCCTCCGTCCTCCAAAACCTCCGGGATGTCGGCAAGGAGCAGGGGGGAGGCAGAGCCCCCCATCGCTCGACACCCCCGTGCAGGGCCGGCCCCTCTGAGCCCCCAAACCCGCCCGGAGAGCGGCCCCATCAAAGCCGGTGTGGGGCACCGACGGCGAAAGGCACTGGGTGAAACGGGGTGCAGGGAGCCGCTCCATGGGGTGCGGGCAGGCACCCGGGGAAGGGGTTTCTCCCTCCCTTCCGTGCAGCAACAGTGGCTCCCGGCCCCATGGCGGGCAGAGGCAGGATAAGGGCAGGAGAACATGGAAGGAGGGCGCAGGGAAGCAGCTGAGCGCAGCCGCGGCGGCGCTGCCACAGGGTCCCTTCCCCAGAGCGTCTCCTCCGACGCCCCCTCCACGCTTCGTGCAGGGACAAGGCAGCTATTCAAGTAAAAGGAGGAGCAAAAAACGGAACCCCCCAAACTGCAGCTACTGGGAGAGCGCCGGGTCGAGCAGCTTGAGGACGCCGCCGACAAGGTGCAGGCTGCCCGTGACCAGGACGCGGATGACAGCGGCCTCGCGCAGCAGCACGGCCCCGCTGCTGGCCACAGGGTGCGGGTGGGCACCCTTGGTGGCGGGTGCTGGCACGCAGGGGTCCCGGCCCTGCGCGATCCACTGCAGCGCGTGCGAGATGCAGGGGAAGACGAGCGAGTTGGAGTTGAGCGGCCGCTCGGCGGAGGGCACGAGGAGCAGGGCTCCGCGCACGGGCTCCGGCTTCAGCACGCTGCCCACCTCGAGCGGTGACGCCAGCCAGAGCTCCTGGCCCACCTTCTCCTCCAGGAGCTGGGTCCACGTCTTCTGGTTCTCCAGGCAGCGGGTCAGGGCGTTCTCCAGCGTCACGTTGAAGTTCTGCTGGTCTGCAGGAGATGGAGAAGGTCGGGGTCTCCTCGTCAAAGCAACGAAGCCACAAGGGGGCTCCAGCAATGGCCAAGGGTCCTGGCTTTGCCCACACAACGTGCCCCAGCACCAGCCTCCTCCGCACTGGCTGGCTCCAAGCACGGCATCCTGCGGAGCCGGACACTCACCTGCATTGCCCATCACCGACACCTCCGCGAAGTTGGGGCAGAAGACGGCGTAGTCAAACTGGCAGGGCTGGGGTGGGAGAAGGGCAGGTCAGCAGAGCTCGCCCAGCCGAGTGCCCGGGCACGGAGCCACACTGGAGTGGGGTGCTCGGCTCATGTTCCCAGCGCCACCCATGGAGATAGGTGCCAGGAGCAATCCGAGCCCAGCGGGGTCTCTCGGGAAGTTTAGCCCACGGTGGGCAGCCAGGACACCAGGGTTTTCCAAGTGTGGTGGGGACCAGCCCATCTGCAAGCCCCTGGGCTGCCAGATGTGGAGCCACGGTCTCCCACTGCACCCAGGCCCAGGGCACCCAAGGAAGCGCAGAGGACACAAGGGCAGTGCCAAGCACGGCAGGGGACAGTGGGACAGGGAGCTGGACAGACAGCGCAGGGCACCAGCTCCACCTTGTGGCACCCAGCGGGAGGAAAGCGGGTCCCGACAGCACCCGGGGCCAAGTGCTTCTCTGGGTGCTCCCCTGGCTGGGTGCCGCAGTCGCCATGGGGCCCCCA